CATCCATAATCAAATAATTCGATTATGTTACTAAAATGATCAAATTTACATGTTTATATTTAGATTTTGATGTTATAATGTAGGATCTATATATTGTTTTCAACGTTTTGTGCATTTGTGAGGGTTTAGATTCCAATGTTCGGGTTTAGTATCCCTTAATTTTTTTAGAAGTTTGATGGTATAATGTTAATAAATAATTTTAAATTTTTTGTTAAAAAAAAATAATGAAACCTAAAATTATATAAAAACATTTGTGATAATTCAAAATAATAAATGTGGATACTGGAAAAAAGGATAACAATGATGGTGGAAACAAAATTCAAAATTTTAGAAATATCTTCAAATTAAAAAGGATACATTTTATATAATAAATAAAACTTACTTACTTATACAATTAGAATATGGATTTCTAAAATTAGAACTAAACAAAAAAATTGAATAACAAATTAAATATTATTAAGATGGTATAAATGGCATCATATTCTTAGGATTTTAATGTCGTTTAGATATTGTAACAACCTAAAACGTTAACTATATAATATGATTATTAATATGCAAAAAGTGTATTTGACATGTTTCTACTTTAGTTGCATGATTATAGTTTCGATTTAGAATACAAAAAAATACATGTTTAAAAACAGTTGATTACAGTCTTGAATATATGTTATTGAATTCTTCCCAATGACTAGAATAAACATTCATATTTGTTTTACCACAACTACATTGTGAATAACAATATCACTTAAAATAATAATGAAAACTAAATTTAGTAATTGATCAAGTTGCTTAATGAAATAACATAATGTGGATATATTATTGCTGACAGAGGAAAGACAACGATAAATTGATTATTTAAATCATATATCTAACAAATGCATTTTCTGTAAAACCATAAAATAAGTCCATGTATAATTTTAAATGATTACTTCATATTTGCACTTCTCTGGTATTATAAGTTGTATAAAAGACTTGAAACGATATTATTGATAATTGATAGCTATTAACCATATTTAATATATAGCCCGCGCGAAGCTAATGATTAGTTCATGTTCCACCATCTACCGATGAGGCTTATTATCTTTTGTTATTACTTGGGTATGTT